AAGGCACAAGAAAAACAAAAAAAGAAAAAATACTAAATTTGAACTTTAAAATCAAAAGCAAATTATCCTTAATTTTTTTTCTTTCTTTATATTGTGTACGTAGAAATTTTCTATTTTTTTCAAGGATAACATATTAGTATGAGTTGGGTATATGTAATAAAAATATAGGTATAAGGTGTACCATAAAAAATGGTTTGCCAGTTGCTATAGCAAATTTCGATTTAAATCGAAAAGATCTGAAAGATTATTTTCTTTACCGTAATTGGATGTCATATAAAAATTTTTTTCGATTTTCTGGTATACGGTCGAGGAACATAATGAAGAGCATTTTGATTTTACTCGAAAAATTAATTAATCTTTCTCCTTTGGCAAACTAATTTAGAATTGGGTTGTATAACTTTTTCCTCTTTTCGATTTTAATATTTAAATTACAATTTAGATTCCTTTAATTATTAAAATAATTGTACGCATAAATTTCTCGCAGTGTATTAATTTTTTTCGATATTTAAAATGTTTTTTAAACTACAATGTTGACATAGCATATTCAATTTTGTTTATGAAATTACTGAATTCTCCTTATTTGTTGAGAGGTTTGAAATAGTTTAACAGTAACACTCAATCAACGTTTTCAGAGAGAGAAGATTATCTACAGCGGAATGAGAAAAATTTTCATATAAGTGAAGTTTTACAAAATGTTGATTCGAACCGGGCAAATGAGTTCAGCTGAAGAGTTAAATTTTTTGTTATTTTTGATATGGGCTGCAAATTCGAGTGAAAAAGGATAATGAATGATTGACAGGGAATAGAAATAAAACGTACTTTACTGCTATTATTGCGAAATTACTAAACTGCCGTTATTCTAATAATTCCAAATGTTTTATTTAACATGTTCAAATGTCTGGGAAGTCTCTATGTTTGAAAGTTCATTTAAACAAACCACTGTTTTTATGAAACACTGAGTTAAACATTTAGGTAACTAATTTTTTTATGTGGTACAAGAAATATTTCTTTTTCAACGTTGCTTTCTTTTTCGTTCATTTGGTAAGAAGGATGAATCAAGCGAAAGTTAAATAGACTATAAAGCACATTACAACAACAAGCATAAATTGAAATAGAAATAGAAAATTTTTCAGAAAAAAGGACGAAGGCAAAATTATAGAAAATAAAATTGCTGGTTGTCTGGATTTCAAATAGATTCAAGTGAAATTTAAGGTCCCTTTTTTTATTTTCGCATTCACTGGTAATTTCCAGTTCGTCATTTTTTGTTTTGTTGAATTTTTCAACTTTTCCCCCTTTTTTTTGTTTTATTTTGATTTTTTTATTTGGTCGCTTTATTAAGGGAACGTATGCGACACAAAAGGGATAAAATGTCAAGGAACACTAAAATGACATTTCTAGAAGGTTTTTTTTTGCAGTTTGTCTTTCACTTTTTCTCTTTTATAAAATAAATAATGCATAATAAAACGAGACGAGTCTAGTCCTTATTTGCTCTTTTTATTTTTTTTTTCTCTTGTAAATATTAAATAAAGGAGAGGAATGGTTTTGGTTAATGGTGTTAGCATATTTAAGAACGAGGTGTCCGTCGAAAGATAGTGAATTTAATAATTTTTCTGCAGATGAGTAATGAAAGAAATTGCTTCATTTTTAAGGTAGGTGTTTGAATTTTAATTATATCAGATTTTTAGAACTAGAAATTTTAAAGTGTAAATAAGGTTTACAATGCACTTATGCCTAGATTTATACTACTTCAAGCATTAAACAAAGGTAACTAACATTATTTCTAAAAAGTAAAAACAGAGTTGGAACGCTCTCATACGGTAATTGTTGATACGGCATTTTATTCATCAGCTGATGTCTAAAATTATGATCCCATTTTTGTTGCTAGTATAATATCAGAAATTTGGGATCGGTGAGCAAGGAACGAATCAATAATTAGAAAAATCTGCTCGGTTATTAAAGGAAAATTTTTTTCATTCTGGTTCTTATGTTAGAAAAATGGTCCTTATGAGTAGACTTTATGAAGAAATTTCTGTAGCATTCTAATACAAGTTAATTTTAATATAAATTATTAACAATCAGTAAATAATTGACGTTGTTTTTATTTGCGTTTAGAATGGTGGGAAACTACAGTTTTAAGGAGTTTGAAATTTGAAGATTATGATGGATACTAGACTCTTTATTAGTTGGGTTTTTGACTTTTTGACATTCATATGTATCCTATTTCCCAACATATTAAGTTTCGTTTTCATTTTCTTTTTCACCAACAAGTTGTGCTATTTATTAGACGATTGTTTGGAATCATTACTTATTTCAGTACCGAAAAAAGCACAAGGCCCTGGAGAGTTTTATACCGATTTTATATAAATTAAAATTATGTAAATACTCCTTGTTTTTATAATTTCAGATTAGCCTATTGTAATATTTTAAATCTGAAAACAAGAAATTATTTAATATAATCGCTTATAGTAATAGACAAGCAAATTTATTCTTATTCAAAGAATGCAAAATAATCTTCGTCTACAATAAAAATTTAAATAAATTTAAAGAGTTCCAAAAAAAAGAACTAAAAATAAATAAAATATGGGAAAGAATGTAAACTGATATCAAGATTAATGTCCTTCTTTTTCTAAGAAATTGAAATTCAAGTGTATAATAGAAAATAATAGAAACTAGAAAAATATAAAAGAGAAAGGATTGACGTCATAATACAGAGTACATGAGGATGTTGGAAAATTTTGTTCTTTCTAAATTTTTATTTTTGCTGGTTTCTTTTTTTAAATGATGTCTCAGTGAAAAATCTTGAAAATAAAAAAAAATCCTTGTCAGAAAAGTTTTATTTTCTATTTAAAATATTTAGGAAGATTTATTTTATTTTTGGGTTTTGTGCTGATTTCACTAAAAAAAAATCCTTAAAAAATAATAGTTGAAAATGGAAAACGAAGTATTTTAGAAGTTTCTCCATTTTGCAATTTAAAAAAGAAAAATGGCTTTCATGGTGTCTCAGTCAAAACTATGATAAAAAAGAATTATGTTGGAAATGAAAGAAGAAATTCGCAAGCATTGTTCAAAGCTTTTTCAATTTAAAATTTTGGTAAAGTTTTATGAATTTCTTTTAAAATTTATATTGTATAGAATTTGTTTAAAAATGTGCATTTGTTAAGACTTAGTTCTTGTGATACTTTTCAATGTTTTTATTTGTGAAGAATTTTTTTCTGAAAAGCATTTTCAATTAATGTTGTTGCTAAATACTTCTGAAATTTCCAGAATTAATTACCATTTTGTTAGTAATAATTTTTTTAAAATAATTGAAATTAATTAATTTTGTACAAAAGAAAATTTAATTTGTAAAACTTAAGAATGATTCTACAAAATCGCAATAAAACTAAAGAAACCGTCTATAAATATTTTCAGATTTAAAAATTTTATTCAATAGTGGAAGTGGCAGTGCTGAAAAACAAGTTAGTTTGACTTCGTTTGAGGATTGTTACTTCTTGCACTTATTCAACTTCGGTTTTAATTTTAAAGGGAGTTATTGGATAGTTCATAAAATCGAAATAAAACACAAGAAATTTTAATATTTAAAATTTTATTCTGTTTCAAAGAAATTAATAGAGGAAGAAATTCTCAAAGTTTTAGATACAATGTAAATTTTCATGGAATTCAATAAAGTTTTCTATTTTAAATTACAGGATGTTTAAATACATAGTACGAAAATGAATAAAGATAAAATTTAATGTCCGCAAATATTAAATGAAAATTTTACTTTTTATAAAATAAAATTGGTTAATGTTCTAAAATAGAAGAGTTCATGATGTCAAAATGATTGCTTGTCAAAAATGGAAATATTTTTCTTATCAATAAAAAAATTTAAAATTTTGTTTTTTTTTTCCACTAAGTTTTATTACATTAGCATTTTTCATTTAAATTCTGGTTGTGAGGGAATACAAGTAGAAAAATATTCTTACGGGCCGCAATAAGGTAGGTTATGGTATGAAATAAAGTGGTCAAAATGCATTTTTATAATCTTCGGTTCTCTTCCTTCATTCTCTTGCAATGAATTCCATTAACCGAATTGTCACTAATGGCCCATTTCAATCTTCCATATGGGTACCAATTACCGTCTAGAAATTTAAAACAAATGCACATAAAAAGAATTTTCAGTATATTGTACGAAAATTTAACAAGATGAGGAAAATTTTGTTTTCCATTATTTTTGAATGATTTGCGATTTTTTGATATAATGAATTAATTGAAATGAAATTCAACACTTGTAATAAACATTATTTTAATTCTAAAGTAAAGGTAATTATGCAGTTCTATCAAATATACATTCAATAAAATTCAGCAGTCAAAGATGTTCTAACTATCACAAAAAGGCCTTTTATCTATGTAAAATGATATGTAAGCTATAACTTATAAGAAAATAAATTAAAAAATTATTGGAAATTCGTTATTGGATAAGTAAGTTTATTAATATGTAGATTAGAAGTACACATGTAATTTCACTCAAGCCTCATTAGAGTAGAATTGAATTTATAATGACATTACACTGGACTATGAGCGCTTTAATCACGTAATGCCGGTATAAATTACATTAATTTTCAAATAGTTAAATGAAAAATTTATTTAGTTCAATATGACAACTATAGTTTCTATATCTACATATATATGTTACATACTGAGTAATTGAATTATTTTACAAAATTAATTGATTTAATAAATTCAATAAAACTGGTTAATATTTCATATGAGATCAACTACTAAATCAACAAAATCTTTTCTATAACATATGCTCGTAGTGAAAATATTTGAAAAAAAAAATCCATTATTAATTTTAAAAACTGGTCCAGTAAATATGTACATTCTTGTATATACATAGTACATAGATATTTAATGAACCATTAATAAACAAACATATTATGTATGTGATTAATTTTATAATTCAAATAGTAACTATTATAATATATTAGTCTAAGATTAAATAACGTCACAAATCTCACCTGTGCAAGGAATGCAACTTTATATGTTCATTAATCCGATTACTTCGAAATATTTTTCAATTCATGCAATTTATATAAAATTTCCAATGTAAGTGGAATCCTGAAACAAAAATAAAGAAATTAGGATAAAAAATTTATGCATTTACATTAATTATTTATAATTTATTTAAAATATAAAATTTTATATGTATTTAATATTATATTTATTATTATATAAAAAATTTTTAGCTTTGCAATAATTATAATTAATGAGTTCATTAAGAATATAGCTTGCTCTATAATTTTTCAAGAATTTTAAATAATTGCTGTTATAATAATTCGCAATATAAATTGATGATGCAGCAAACAGATTAACTCCATTCATAGAGAAAATTGGGAGCTCATTTTATTTCAGAGAAAACTTTTATTGCTAGTCTAAGCAATGTTAAATATGTAAAAAGCGTTAAATAAATGACACGGCAATAAATCTTACGTTTGACATTTATTACAGTAAAAATAGATGCCTACATGCCAAATTAAAATATTCGAATCAAACGAAAAAATTATATAGGAACTGTTTCGATGAGATTTCATTTTAAGGTAGTGAAACGGTTTGGTTATGACCAAAGAACAAGCGCGAAAGTTGTTCCATCGATTGTTGCGCTTGCAATGACTGTTAATAGCAGATATAACGATACTGAAGAATTGGAAAATTAGCATGAAATACTGGTGTTCACTCAATAAACTTATCTCTTCTAATCCAAAAGAATTAAGTTAGAAAAATTTTAGTCCTTATTTGATTAACTACTTATGTTTTAAATCCATGAGTACTACATTTAGTTTTCATATTTCTAAATATTATTTTCCGCTATTATATTTAAAGTTAATTGCCCACTGAACCACATATTATGTGTATAGTTTTATGACTGAAACTCAGTGTATATTTGAGAAAGAGCACAATTTATAACTTGAATACAAAATAGTTTTCTAAAATTGTCAATCTAATGGCCCAAAGCAGTATAACTGAATATCCTCATTTCTCTTACCAGTGTCTCCTTATAAGAGATGTGACTGTTACGAAAGCAAAAATGTTTTATAATTGCTTATTCAGTAAAATTTTTGTGAATCGACAGTGGCAAAATATAGTTAACAGATTTGGATTAATTAATCATTTTCTATACAGTTATAGGATTAAAGTTAATTTTGTGTCAAGTAACTTTTTTCTCAATTGTTGTAACAAGAAAAGAAATTTTATCCTACCATACCGTACACATAAAAGTTAAATTACTATATAATTACTGATTTTCATAATACATAGATGATCTATTTATGGTACATGATCATAAAATATTATCCTATACAATAACGTATAAGTTTTTTTTTGATTTCTTTGTAACCAGAGATTTAAACTCCTTGACTTTTTTGTTTTATTCATTTTTTCCCCGATTAATATGTGACTTGCATATTATAGATAATAACATAAATTAAAGAAAAAAATAAACTTAGTACAATAGTCGCAGTTAACTCACTTAAATTGGCTACTTTACCACCAACAGGCATTTCATTCTTATATTTATGTTCTTATATGTAATGTATTTAAAAATTTCATATTTATTGCATAGTGTACTTTTAAAGTATATTTCTATATATAGAGACAGAGTAATGCCAGAGGCCCCACAATTTGTTATAAAAACTGACTACATTCAACAATAATGTTAAAGATCATAATTGCAAAAAGATTAATGACCATAACTTTAGTTTATGTATAAGAATTTTAAATGAAAACGGTAAGTAAAAGAAAAGTTGCAAAATTTATGATTTTAATTTCCTATGGTTAAAACAGTAATTTGAAGAAAAAGGGGTAATTTTGTGATTTTAAAGTAAGCATTTTTAAAAAGTAAGTGAATTAAGAATTATTTCCGGATTTTTTTTTGTTCTTAGCCTTATACTGCAATACTTGTACTTTGAATTTTTTGATTTATTATCCTATTAAAGTTTTGCTTTTTTAATTTTACAAAACTATTAGCAGGACCTCCTTTAAGTCTCATATATATATATATATATATAATATATACTCCAAGTATTTTATAACTAAAGTTTAAATAAATAAATTATAAAGCTAATGAGGCCAAAGCAAATTAACATTTTCTTTATTTTTCCATTATAATTTTTGAAACTGGAAAAATTTCATTTTTGTACAGCGAGCAACAAATTTTTTGTTTTTGTTTTTTATTATAGGTAGCCATTTTTGTTTTTTAGAAACTGATTTTGAGCTTTCTGAATAATGGGTGGAGGAAAACCGCAAAAAACAACAAAATGAACGAGCAAAAGTCCTTCAAGCGCCATCAGTTTTTCTTTTTTTACAAGAACAAGCAAAATTTGGTACCCTATTTTTGCGTATACATTATTTACATTAAATTTTGTTATAGAAGTTTGTAAGTATGTACAAGTTTATTCGAAGTTAAGAATTTTGTCGTTTTTGTTTTTTGGTATTTTACAAACATTTTGTTGCTCTTTTACGAAATAAAAGTTTGAAAATAAGAAAAAAAATTAATTTTTTTCATAGCAATAAATTTTGTTTCATAAATCAAAAAAACAAAAAAAAATTTTTAGAAAAGTTTTCCTTTAAGAAATATTTTTCTAGTCTTTTTTCCAAAAACAAAAAAACAACAAAAACCTTAATAATATTGAAGTTTCTTTTAGCAAATAATCATCACAGTAAATTCTGGGCAATGTGAGCCAAAATTTGAAGAAATAATGGTAATCGCTGATTCCTCCAAATGAATAACATAGTGTTACTTGGCACATTTTTCATTTTTGTCAATGAACAACTGGTCTATTTTTTTTAGAAAATCACATGCGATGATCAACTACAATATTTATATTGCGAGAATTCAAAACTTTTGATAACATGATGCGATAAACTTAATTTCCACTAGAATTCGATAAATTTTATATAGTGGTAATTATTTTCTCTGTGGAAAATTTTTAACAAGAAAATGGAAACTGATCTTTATATTTAACTTTATCGGCTCATTCTTCTATCGAGTAATTTTTAATAGATTACTTCGGGTGTTCGTCAATATTAAATTTATAACCCAATACTATAAGATATAATAAATTTATTATAAAATTAGTTACTCTATTCTTGACTATTTTGTGAGAATTATAGAATCACATTATTCGGAAAAAATATTCTTCATTCCAATTTAGCGAGAATTTACTGTTTTCGGAATACATATTTTTTGTTATACCTAACTTATAATAATTTTGCAGTTTTAACTGGTAACCACTTTCATTTTACCAAAGCAATAATTCAATTCAAATCACACATTAAAAATGTTATACGACTGTATATTGAAGAATTATACGAAAATTTCTATCAAAAGCATAGAAAGGGAGGGAAAATGTGAAACGAAAGTTCAAGACTAAAATTTTAGAAAGAAAAGGGTTCTGTTTCCTGATTTTTTGCTTTATCTTTTTATGAATGACTTCTTAAAGATTTATTGGAGAACTTTGACAAAAAAGAATTGTTTTTTTGTTTTGGCTTCTTTTTTTAACCGCAATCATCAGTCTTCGTAATTTCTTAGCAGAAAGAAAAATCCATTAAGAAGAAAAATAACTAGAAAATCACAATTTTGAAAAATTCTAAGAGAAAATTATGTATAAGTAGTAGTTATAACAACAGCAACAGCAAAAAAAACAAGCTGCATAGCAAAGAAGAAGAGAAAAGGAACACAATCATTGTCTGGACAGTAAAATTATTATGGCTTTGCGAAAAAACAGAGACCAAAATAAGAATTCTAAATTGCTGATTTTTTTTTTTATGTTATGTTAATGTCATATTTAAGTGTCATAATCTACTATAAAAAACAAATCCTTTTATTATTATAATATTTTCAATTCACATCAGTATATTTGTGTGTTTGTGTATAAATATTAAAACACAGTATGCAAAATAAATTTTTAGGGTGGCCGTTTATTTGTAATAACAACGTACTCCACTTGTAATAAGCATTAATTTTTTTTTGTGAAATATTTTCAGATTTTTTTATTTGTGCTCTTTAACATGGTAATTAAGGTTCTATAGCAAAGTTTTGTTCCTTGAATGGGATTTTAAACTAGGGCTTTAACACTTTCTAATTAATACGCGTTTCTAATTAATATGCGTGGGTAGTTGTGGTAGGTACAAAAATTGATATGTATATATTATATACATATCTATGCATTTAATAATTTACTTAACTTTTTATAAATTAAATTTTTCTCTGCAATATTTTTGGTTCCGCTGTTTTTGATTTCATCTAATAAATAAACAACAAAGGAAATCCTAAAAAAAGTTTAAATGGGGATTTCTTAATCTTGAGTTTAAATCTGTATTTCTTATAAGACTAACATGAATCAGGACATCTTGTGCTTGCATTGTTAGTTTATTTCACTTACTCATACTAATATTTAGCATATAATTAAAAGCAGAATTTAAACTGATAGGTGAAACTTGTTTGAAAAGATTTGAATTGCTTGAGGCTCTCTGTACGTCACCCCTAATGACATTTTTTAGATTAATAAATGGATATTTGAATATTTCTATCATAAAACCTTTTTATTGATCTTCGTTTAAATAGACAATATTTTTTTATTTCAATCCCTTTTAATTCAATTTAATTCCCCATAAAAGCAAAAAATGTTTACCAATAAAAATTTGAAAATTGGTTTTTCCTTATGTTTATGTGTATGTTTCATATTCTAAAAAATTTCGACTGAGATTCCAAAGCTTTTGTTTAAATCTATTTGATAACGATCGAGTTGAGAAGATTCGATTCGAATGTTATAACGAATTTTTAATGTACGAGGAATTCTTTTTTTTAGGAGTTTCCATAGAGAATTTATTGTGAAACTAAAATTTTGATTGTTTAATATTAATTGAAAAACGGATTTATTAGGAGAGCTCAATGAAATAAAAATTTCTTGGCAAAGCTTGAAATGTGAACTGTTTAGATTAACTTCGGTAAAGTAGTAAATCACAGAAGGTCCCAATATTGTTACAAGTCCGCAGCAACACAAAGGTATTTTGATGTTATAATATTTAATAAAATCAAATTTAAC